GGGTCAAATGAAATAGTCTCCGGGCATTACCTGTTTTCTGGGCCTCTTCCATTTCTTTGGCTTTCTGTCTCCACCATAAAAAATAATCAGCTGGTTGTCACAACCGATTGCACGTAGTGCTGACATGATTGCGAGGGAACGATCGTAATCACCATACTTTTGCATCTTTTCATTCTACATAACCACTCCGCACCCACCCGAGTCTGTGCTTGTGTTTATCACAGATTCTCGGCGCTGCCGAACAGCAATTGGGTCTGGTTTGATGGAAGACGTTGACGTAGGTGCTCTCTACTCTTTGATGACGATGTATCCCAGGCAATGGAAACATCTCACGATTATGACGGGCACACCTAGCATCATACGTGATCCAACAGGACTGCAAAATATGCAGCAAACTCTCCGGATGACTACAGTTTCCACGACAGAAGGTCGTCTGGCCACCACGATCACGTCGGACGCTCCTAACTTACTTCCTGGCTTGCTTACTTACACTGTGAAATGAGTGCGTACGTAAATACACCTAGTCGTTCGCTCCGGCGGACAAAAAAATTATTCCCGAATGGTGTCGGTTTCGCTGTGAAAGTCGGGTATTCTTATCTTGCCGCAATTCGCACGGTGGGTCTATGCTTGTCCAGACAGCCAATAAGCTAGGCAAGGGAAAGTTAGTGGTGTACAACCAATCGACTCCTGGCTGGTTAGTGAAAACTGTCAGTCGGTACTCTCAGGCATTGGAAGTAATGGTAGAGTTGAATGGACCGATCTAGAACTTTGTCAACAAGAAATATGGACTCAGCAAACTTCTGTCCGCGCAATTAATGTGACTAAATGCACAGAAGGTAACGATGCCTGTGAAGCGCGTTTACTAACCACTGGCCATTTATTGCGCCAATAATCCACTGGAGATCTTTCAAATGGCCAGGACGCCTTCAATGTCAGGGATTCTGATAACGAAAAGACCAGTTATAGTTTGCTTGAAAAGTGTGGAACCTCGATATTTAAACCTTAGTATTTGACTGTTCAATGTCCGCGGATTTAGAAAAATGCTGAGCATTTTGAAGAGGAATTTTAACATTGGCATTCGCCACTTCGTTAGTGAAGTAACTTACGCTCTAGACACATCAACTGGGTTTTCACGGGAGGCTCAGCTGAATCTCTCGTTTGTGAACATAAGATTGAAAATAAATTCCCGTGAAAACCCAGTCTACATGCAAATCAGTGTATTAGCCGAGATATGTCCAAGTAGGACATAAGGTTGGCGGAAACTCGGGGACTGCGCCTACCTGATGAGCCTCAAGAAGTTCACGGGAGCTCAGCTGAATCTCTCGTTTGTGAACATAAGATTGAAAATAAATTCCCGTGAAAACCCAGTCTACATGCAAATCAGTGTATTAGCCGAGATATGTCCAAGTAGGACATAAGGTTGGCGGAAACTCGGGGACTGCGCCTACCTGATGAGCCTCAAGAAGAGCGAAACAGGTCATGGGGCGTCGACGAGTTTTCAGCAACCTTACGAGTAGTGCATTACGAATATACATGTATCGCGATATCTCGAATATCGTGGCGACTGAAACATGAGGCGGCCTGGTGTAGCACATTCAGCTGCCTGGAAACATCAAAACCGAGAGGGTCTCTCGAAAAAAACGAATTAGTTTGCAAATGAGTGTATTTCGCTGATTTCGTGCAATTCGGTTTCAAGTAGAACATAAGGTTGACGGAAACTTGGGGACTGCTCCGNCGAAAACCGGTTGTGGGCTGTCGAAGAGTTTTCAGCAACCTTGTAAGTAGTTTCCTTTATAAAAATACCTTACGTTTTCTTCTGTCATGTCTTATCATTATCATCTTATCAATATTTGCGTACTTGATCGGTTGGAACTAAACAAGAACTGAAAGCTTTGCGTAGATTGTTCAGTGCTCTCAGGACGTCGCCCTTGTTTTAATCAGAAATATCATTTACTGGGAAATGGCCAAACCCATCGTGAGGCACATCGTGTTTACCGATTCCCCAAATCATCCTGACGCCAATTTTTGATACGAACGTGCTCAATCCGACAGGATAGTTTCTAAAGAAACCCCATCTTTTCTCGAGTATGT